AACTGAACCGTAAGATGAGTTTAACGCATTGAATCATCCTTAGAAAAGAATCATCCTTATAAATTTTAGAGCAAAGCACTATAAGGCATCAAATATTAAAAACAGTACATCAGTCGCAGTGTCAAACAAAAAGGTTTGCTTCAAGACATGGCATAAAATTCACGAATACAAAATAAATTGCAAATAACAAAGGAATTAAACATTTACAGGGAGCGTAGCCAGATTTTTCAACAAAAAATAAGCACCTTTTAAGTATTTTTCAAGCAGTCTAAAAATATTTTTAATCACTTTCCAAAAAAAAAAAAATCATAGTTAGGATCTGCGCAGTAATAAAAATTATTTTTTTCCATTCGCTTAAAGTTCTTAATTTATAAACATAAAATCAATAAAATTCAAAAACTTTACAAAACCATGGTAAAATAACTAGTTTCTGATAAATATTACAGAGAAAATTGTAAAAAATCATGTATTTTTTTTGTAATTTAGTACGATAATGGACACGGAATGTCGTCTAGTATTTTTTGAAAAACCAAGCACTTTTTACCAGCCCCGAAAAAAAAGCACTTTTACAGGTTTTTGAAAAACGGAAATCAAAAATAAGCACCTTTAAGCACTTTTTAAAAACGCAAAGCACCCTGCATTTACTTTATATAATAACCAGCCTTTTAAAAATATAAGCAACCTAAAATTAACTTTTATACTTACAGATCATATCAATAGTTACAGATGTCTCAATTGGTTCGGTGATGTTACTATTGGACGCTTGACAAGTCAACACAGTCAATAGGTCTTCTCTTCTGAGAGAATGTAAAACTAATTCACTCTTGACAGACCGCTGATCTTCAAACGCTGGAGTGCTTCTGAGTGTCTTGGAGTCTTTAAGCCATGTTAGTGTAGGAGTAGGATAACCTTGAGTGTTAAATTTAATTTAGTGCAATTTTTTTAAAAATACAGGGTGTCCCAAAACTCATGGTACATTGGTTGGAACTGATAGAAAACAATCCAAGGTTGGAACGCAAGAGCACGAAACATGCTGAGTCACGAAATTTTCTTTAATAACCGTCGTTGAACACCCAACCCAATTTTGGGTTTACGATTATCAATATTCAACTCCGTGACCTTGTAATTTTGAACCATTCCAGAAGACAAGAAAACTTCTAGATCAGTACAAAAAAGTAAAATTCCGAAAAGATAAATTTTGCTCCCGACAAATTTATCACATGGTATCTAGTACAAATGCTTAACTGGTTTTAAAATTACAGCGTAAAACATAGTAAATAATTTTTACGCTTTTTTTCCCTTTAAATCACAGTAACACTCTTTTGCAAAAAGGCTGGTTCAAAAATAAAGTATAATATCTGTACGTTGAACCATAACTATGCGAATTTGTTGCAGCTTCAAGATGCTGTTAAATTGAATCTCATGTTCTCGTTCTAGTTTATTTATAGCATCGTGTAACGACCCTAGTAACATTTATACCTTGGGCTCAAAATTTACTCAATTGTTCCTATATGAACATGCTCCGAATAACCAATATTGAGATGTCTAGATTTCTTAATATTGATGCTATGCAGTGCTATTAACGGCCTATATAGGCCCAATATGGAGCCTATATTGGTTGAATAATAATTATAAAATATCGGGTGATCTGACAATTCTATTTAGGGCTGATATTGGTTTTAAAGTGACAGTAAAATATCGGGTGAATCGAACAATTCCATATAGGGCTGATATTGGTTTTAAAGTGACAGTAAAATATCGGGTGAATCGGACAATTCCATATAGGGCTGATATTGGTTTTAAAGTGACAGTAAAATATCAGGTGAATCTGATAGGACTGATATTGGTTTTAACGTGACAGTAAAATATCGGGTGAATCTGACAATTCCATATAGGGCTGGTATTGGTTTTAAAGTGACAGTAAAATATCGGGTGAATCTGACAATTCCATATAGGGCTGAGATTAATTTTAAAGTAGCAGTAAATTATCGAGAGAATAGGACGATTCTATATAGGGCCCATATCAGTAAAATATCGCCACCTTTGAACCCTTACTGAGCCAAGATTCGTGAACATTGGTCTAATGAAGTTATTTTACTGCTAGGGAAATTAAAGAAGTAGAACAGCATAGTTCATTTTAGTATCATAATAAATGTTGCAGTAAATTGGAACGATATTATGGATGAATACGTTCTAAAACTCCTAACAATGTGAATAACACAATGTGAATCCCAACACTGACGGTCACAAAATAAAATTTTATAGTATTGAAATTAAATTTTAATACAATTAATTTTCATTGTATTTTTGATTACAGCAAAAAAGCAATCTTACGCATTTACATAAAATCAAATTATGATAAAAAAAAAATAGTTTAGCAATTAAAGTGCCGTNCCCTTACTGAGCCAAGATTCCAATATTGGTCTAATGAATTGGTCTAATGAACGAATTGGTCTAATGAGCCAATATTAGTCTAATGAAGGCCCTAGTTATTTTACTGCTAGGGAAGTTAAAGAAGTAGAACAGCATAGCTCATTTTAGTACCATAATAAATGTTGCAGTAAATTGGAACGATATTATCGATGAATACGTTCTATAACTCCTAACAATGTGAATAACACAATGTGAATCCTAACACTGACGGTCACAAAATAAAATTTTATAGTATTGAAATTTAATTTTAATACAATTAATTTTCATTGTATTTTTGATTACAGCAAGAAATCAATCTTACGCATTTACATAAAATCAAATTATGATTAAAAAAAACAGTTTAGCAATTAAAGTACCTTTGAATTTGTAATCAATTGAAACGTCAAAAATTACTTAATTATAATTACATGAAACAAGTAAACTTTTTTTAACCAATATGCTTGAATAAAATGCATTTTGACCCAATAAATCTTAACAAAAAGAAAAATATTTGAACTGTAATTAAAATTTAAACTTTTGAATAATTTGCGGAAGCTTAGATAATTAAAACACATAAATGAAGTTATTTAATGAAATCACTTACATAATTTAATACCAAATAAACTAAAGTACAGCGAATTAAAAATTTTAAAAGAAACTTTCAAAATTTAAAAACAGTAAATAACAGAATAAGCTACATTTAATGTTCAAAAATGCTACTTACCCCCTACGGCTAAACAGACCAAAGTTACACCTTCTCCCTCTCTAAATGGACCAATTATTCCAGAATAACTGAAATTATCTTTTCCTTTTATCACAACTTTCTTTACAGGAACTGAAAGAAATTTTTTTAATTTAATTTGTGAAAGAAAGTAGTAAAACTAAAGTAGGTAATTGAGAATTGAAAATGTAAGTATCTAATATATATTTTTTGGTGGAAATGTTTTAGTTCAGAGTTTGTATTTAACACTGTTTCTTTCATGAAATGATAATCCTTAACAGTTCAGCTTTTAAAGAAACTAAGGAGTTTTTAGAATGCTTCCAAATTAATTCTGGATTTGACTTAAGGGCCATGTGAGTTTAAAAATGAAGAAAATAACATCTGATTATGATTAGTAAGTTTATTTTCAGGTACTACTCACTGGTATGCAGCGACAGATATATGTGCTTTTGTAAGTCACTATTGATACAAATAGATTTTGGCAGTCAAAGTTTAAAAAAACTGCTTTATTTTGAAATTTTTTTTAATGAACTTTGTCCTTTGATGCAAAGATCCACTCTAAGTATTTCAGTGTTAATAGTTAGCATCACGCTTTTCAACTGTGTTCAAGAGTAATAGTCAACAGTGCGCATGCGTCGTCATTGCATGCGTTGCTATGGTGACCGCTGCTGTCTGATAATTTTTTTTAGAATTCTTTTCTTTCACTTTTAATTTTGTTGTGCATCAAGTTAATGAGTTTACTTTTGAGATATGGGACAAGAGGGATCCCATAAATACTTCTTGAGCTGTCAATAAAAGAGAATTTCATTATTTGAACGATATTTTTTGTTCCTGTTGTTTTAATTTGGAATCAAAAATTCTAACCTACACTTCAAACTGGATCGTTTTCAATACTAATTCAGGTGAATATCTCAAAAATAAAGAGGGTCACAAGCTGATTGACACGGTCCCAAACGATGGAGTTGAAGCAAGAAAAGAAAAAAAAACGATGCCAAGTCCTAAACTTAACAGAGGCTGAAAAAGCTAAAGCCAAAGAACGTAGAAGAGAATACCTAAAGAGTTACATATAAACGGAAAACGAAAGGATTCTGTTCATAAACGTTCAAAATTAGACAACAACCATGTTGCCAATGGGTAGATAACCTGTGATTGCCTGATCACAATTTTTTATTTTATTTATTTATTTGTGCAAAAATAAAAAACACTTCTTTTTTAGTTTCACATAAAGGACATGTCTTGAAAGTTTAAAAAAAAAAAATTCCAAATGTCCAACCCTACTGGATTTGCCCGATTTTTACAAAACACCACTAGCTCTTAATCACTTGAATATAACTTTCCTCATGCTTTAAGCTAAAACGATTTGAATTTATGTCTTAAAAAAATTTTAATAGGCATAAATCCGGAAAATCATTTCGGATAATCTCTCCATGAGTACATTAACTCTTATTTCTAGTTAGCTGCAAAAAAATAAGCTTATCGACTACTCACCAACGATAGTTAACGTAATCCATCTACTCATAGTGCGACCTCTTTTAAAATCCACTCTACATCTGTATTCTCCCGCATCCTCTTCCGTCACCGGATTCAGTCTCAAGTGACCCAGATTTCTAATTGTGACATTAAAGTAAGCTCTTGATCCCAAGTACTTGCTCGAGAAGTGTTTGGCTGAATCAGCTGTGAAGGAACTGCGAGCATCCAGGGTGTAAATTGGATTTGGATTTTCGCGTTTATACCACAGAACCAAAGAAATGGAATCGTCGTGGGATGGGGTGCTGAGATTACATGGCAAATACACCGTGGATCCAATGATTGCTTGAAGCTCTGGATATTCTAATTCAGAAATAAAAATTCAGTAAAATTTGGTTAATTCGATATTTTACTTTAGATGCTCAAATACTTTGCTTTAGATAGTTTAATACTGTACTGATAATAGTATAATATGTTACTTTAAATACTATTTTTTAGTCCCGGGCTAAATTATTAAACGCACTATAAGATTCTATGTAAAATCTAAATTATCAGGTGATACTTTACAGCTTTATTGTTTTTACGCTACTGTTGTAGTTAAGTTAGTGTATCAATTGGTTAACATTGTAATGCAATACGTTAAAAATAAACACAAATAGGGAGTATATGAAAAATCTCCCGAATAAAAACCCATTACATGTATGCTTAAATATAAAAGTATTGCATTTAAACTCGTGCAAAACATGCAATTATTAAAAAACTTCAGTGAGTCTAATAATTTGGTCTAATTATTATAATACACTAATATAATACCCGATATAATAAGTATTCTATTTTTATAAATATATCGTCCAATTTATCCAATCATGAAAATTATATTATATATCGTCTAATTTAACCGATTGATACACAAACGTAAACAAGTGCAAACCGGTTTCAGTCACGTAAAAACAATAAAACTGTAGAGTATCATCCGATCATTAAGATTTCACATAGAATCTTACAGTGCGACTAATAATTTGGCCAAGGTCTGTATATCAATTGAAAAACAAGTTTTCTTCTCTCACACACAAAAGCAAGACTTTATTTTCATGTATTGAATACCAGGGCCTCTGGCAGAAAGAATCCTATTAATTTTAGATTTTGAATGTCATGCTTATCTATTTACAAACCATCTGGGTAAAACATTTGCTTTTGTAATTACTTTTTTTTCTACAAAATTGCAAAATTACAGCCCTATTATCACAAATTCTTTGTAATATCTAAAAAAAAAAGTACCGAAAAGTGCTGAAATCAGATGTAAGCGAATATACGTGGTGACAAGCTAATTAGCATTACAGTTATTAGGGTCAGTTCTTATCACGCTAAATCAATTTTCGGATATTATTTAATTGGGTACCAACAAGCGACTTCACGCAAGGGTGTCGA